CAGAGCCTGACGCGGGGCTCGAACCCACGGACCGCGAGATCATGACCTGAGCCGAAGTCGGCCACTCAACCGACTGAGCCACCCAGGTGCCCCAAAGGTGTTATTTTTTAAATGCTGGGTTGATATGCACTCTTGGAGATAATCACCCCACTTCCATACATATTTAAGAAAACCATAGTCCTGTTTCATCTAATTGGATTGCAGATGCCCTGAGCATTGTAGACCTTTGGTAACTTGTCATAGGTTGTTAAATTTGTTGTTTGGAATTATTATGTGGGGTACATGATTGACCTGTGAAATCTCTGAAACTTGTATAGGAGCTCAAGATATGTATTCACATATATATGTGTATGTATGTGTGTACATATACATACACACACATATATATGTGTGTGTATGTATATACGTATGTGTAGGTGTGTGTGTATTATTTCTGTTACTGTCTCGGAAGTAAAGAGTGTAGAGGAGGTTGGCAAGATTACAAATAAAACTCTAGTACATGCTTAAAGGGGTAGAATTCCTCTTGAAAAGAATAGAGAGTAGATTAAAAGAAAGAGCATTACTTTTGTGCAAGATTTTTGGCACAGTTTATAAATTTTGTGTCTATGGATCTTCCATTCTAATCAATGGATTGCTAACTGGTTTGGAAGAAAAGCTATTAGAATTGTAGCTTTTATTATGGTTTTTCCTAATTATGCAGTGTTCACATGTTAAAATGTAAACTTTATATTCTTTGTTTTATTTCAGGGACTTTGGTTGGAATGAAGTTAGATGTACTAGTTGTATGGGTAATTGGCTCATTTAATCAGGTACAGTGTCGGTAAGACCAAAGTCATCATAGCAGGTGTTATTTAACCTTTGTTATTTTAACTCAATTTACTTTGTCCAGCTTGTCTGCAAATTCTTGGAAAGGGACCTTAGCAAGTATGTTTAACTTAAATCTACTCATTAGATACAAATGACGTAGATAATTGTGATCTCTGTATAGGAGGGTCAGCACATATTTGAGATCTAATTCTTGATGATTTTCATAAAATTTTGCATACACTTAGCGCTTTCAGCAGATATTTAATGATTGCACAAGTTTTTGTACTTGTGTCCTTTCCATTGCAGGACTTGAACAGTTAACCAGCTCATGAGTGCCTATGGTTTGACACCTAGCTGTTAGCAGTGGACGCCGTCTACTGAGGTCTTGCCACAGGAGTGGATCCCATCCTGTAGAATTTCTCTTTTTTGCCTGAAATTGCTCTAAGCTCCACTCCTGACTTCTTTTTCCAGGGCCCTCAGTGTGGTCTGTTCTGTGGGTTTTATAAACACAAGGCTTGCCCACATTTCATGCCTCTTGATGCCCTGACCCACAGTTTTTGAAGGCTCGGCTATCTGATTGAAAACTGAAGGCAGGGAATTATACAGGGAACACACATGCAAATCAGTATTCCAGAAACTAGCCTCGAGAGGAAATACAGTAAGTGCCAAATGCCAGTAGAAGTGTGGTTGCTTGGAGTGTACTTGAACTAGTTTGGAAAAAACCCATGAGAGAGAGGAGACTTGAACATTGCTTTAAAGAAGGGGTGGGATTTGCTGCAAGTTGAGTGTGTGTGTCTGTCTTGCTTGTGTTTTTAAGGTAGTGCCTTGGTGTCTGGTCTGGGTGTGGGCGCCGGTAGGGTACGTGCAGGTGGCTGGGCATGTGTGGTATGTTTGGGAGTGAGTCTGTGAGGTGGGCTGTGTGTGTGTGGTGAGAGGGAGGTGGGAATTCATACTGCGGCAGAAGAGCTTCTGAAAGAGGGCCTTGCTGTTAGGAGGATTTTTCTGGTAACAGTAAGCTGGCTGGATTTAGAAAGGCAAGGCGCTTAGGAAGCTATTATAGTACTTCTGACCTGAACTGAGAAGGGTTGATGACGGTGGGAGTGGGGAAGAAAGCAACTGATTGGACAGAAACCACTAGTGAGAATCGGAGGGGGCTGGGCAAGGCAGAATTCAAGAGGATTCTGTGTTTCTTCTGTGTGGGGCGCAGAGGTCTTCATGGTGTCCTTAATGGATAGTGGGGAAGTCTGGGTTAGGAGTTGGCCGTGAAAGGAAGATAAGAGGTTTAATGTAGGATGTGATAAGCTGTTGGAGCCCTGAAATGAGGTCATATTTGTGGATAGAGGGTTCACCATGTACTCAGTCTTCAAGATCTTGCTCAAGGCCAGTTTCCTCTCTTGTGAGGAGAGAGAGTGATGAGAAAGAGGTGGAGGAGAAAAGAGGGTATGACTGTGGGATTTTTGGCTTGAGAGTTAAGTAGTACTTCTTATTTATAAATATTGCAGTTCAGAATTACCATGTGATACTGTAACATACTAGAAATTCAGCATGCTTGGAATGTCATGCTAGTTGTAACTTTCATCTATATTCCCTAAGATGCTTCCTGAGCATTTGTAAATTTCCACAGTTTTATGTTAATTAATGTTTATATCAACAATTTATACTGATGAGTTAATATTTATATTACTGAATATAGACTTTAAAGTTAATAAAAAGCCTTAAAGACTGCTATTAGTCCTTCATTTGGATGACTTCTCATTTGGAAATAACTGGCAACTGAGCTTCTCTGTTTTTTAAGTAGTTTGTACTTGATGAGGATTATTTCACTCCGCCAGTTTTCTTTCATAAGGTTTTAATAGGTGGTTGGGAGAATTTGTAGGGTGGCTGCAATTTTGAGGAATTGCCTTTCATATAGGTATATTTTTCCTATAGTGTTTGGTAATGCTTCACAAATATGGCCTAAGTAATTCATTATTAAGCATGACAGTATAAACAATGTTTAGTTGCTAGCCTCTCCTTTTCCCTGGTCATTAATTCATATACCCGTAATACTTGTGCCTTTATTATTATTTGAAGTGGCAGATACATAACTGAAAGCAGTTAGCAGTTTAGAAAATGGTTGATATGCTTGAAGACATTATTCAATCTGTCTATAGGTAGAGCTTGATGCACAAATGGATTCATGGACGTTTTGGTCCATGGATGGGTATTGCATTCGAACCAAGGACTATTTGTTTGAAGAGTAGCAATTTTGTCTGGTTCTGCTTAAAAAGGGTCCAGATTGTACAGATTTTATTTTTGCTTTTTATTGTACCAATTAATCAAAGTATGATTCATTGGCTAGAATTTGAAAATCTGTGTTACATGTAAAATTAGACTTGTAAATTTACTTGAGTATATGACTATATGGTAACTAAAAAGGTATTTAGTAACAGTTTTGTTTTGCTGTACAATATTAACTCTCACAGCTGATTGCTATTAAAAATCAGTTTATGAATTTTTTGGGGATTTTTGATGCCTGGAAGAAAAATTGTACTTAGTTTCATCTCAATAACGCAAAATCATAGTTGAGCTGATGTTATCTTTCTTTACTCTCCCATTCCATTTACTGATTACGACATGTACAAATGGCTGTCTCAGATAATCCTCTCCAATGAATTTTAGTTTTCAGTTACTGAAAAACAGTATTTTGGGGCACCTGGGTGGCTCAGTCGGTTCAGTGTCCGACTTTGGCTCTCAGGTCATGATCTCGCGGTTCACGAGTTCGAGCCCCGCATCGAGCTCTGTGCTGACAGCTTGGAGCCTGGAGCCTGCTTCGGATTCTGTGTCTCCCTCTCTCTCTGCGCCACCCCCCCCCCCCGAAATAAACAAACAAAAAACATTAAAAACAGTATTTCTACAAAGTCTAAATTTCCCATAGAGTTGATACTGTATATGTCATTATCTAATATAATGCACTTACCTTAAACTTTCTGGCATGGTTTTGGGATTGCTTAGTTACCTGGGTTTTTGAAGAGGGAGGCTGTTTGCCAGGCATATATGACAATGATTCTTTATTTTTATGGCAGTTTTTTATTTGTTTTTTGTCAGACATGGACATTTAAATGTGTTACGCTGGCACATTAGTCCCGTGAAGATTTGCTAAGATAATGTAAGGTCTCAAGCTGTTCAGTTGAGCCTGCAAACATATAGAAGACAGACTTACCAAAGCAAGCATGAAATTTTGAATGTGAATATTTTATTTTATTTTTAAATGTTTATTTTTGAGAGAGTGCAAGCGGTGGAGGTGCAGAGATGTGGGGGTCGGGGGTGGGTGCAGAGGATCCAAAGTGGGCCCCTTGCTGATAGCAGAGAGCCCAATGCAGGGCTTGAACTCATGAACTGTGAGATCATGATCTGAGCCAAAGTTGGACACTTAACCGACTGAGCCACCCAGGCACCCCAGAATGTGAATGTTTTAAATGAAATACTGAAATTACTTATGGTAGCCCTGGATATATATTTATTATGTCATTTGTTTGTCACGATAAGTTTTCTCCTTGGTCATTTTATTTTCAAATGGAATGAGCCAAGTTGTTTATATTTCATTCCTGAGAAACTAAAGGAAGAAACTGACTAGTGAATATGAAAATGGCCATTAAATTCGATTGTCCATCTTATGGATGTTCATAAGATAGTTCCTTGCTCTTAACACACTGTGGCCTGGTGTTAGATTGTGTGTAATTAGTGTGTACAACTTAAATGTCAAAATCTAAGCAATATAAATAACCTGGGTTAGGAAAAAAAAATAGTTGCTTAAGGCAAAAAAGACTTCAAAGCTAAATATAAGCAATATTTGTTTTTTCCTTTTTCTCATTTACATGTTTATACCACCTTTCTCTCTCAAGTAATAACAAGCAATACGGGTCCGAACTGGCTTATTAGCACTACCAAGTTAATATTAACGATAACATTAGTGCACATACATGCACACTTAAAGGTTTGGAGAAAAATGTCTTTCCCATGTCTGATTTCACTGACTAGCCCGATCAGTTTACTAGTTTTATTGCTGCGTTAAACTAAAATGCTAAATACAGTTGTCCATTATTAAAAGAAATGAGTAGGATTAAAATAAAGACTTAAAAAAAATACTTCTGGATAAAGTAGCAGGCTTCAAGTGAAACTCAGTTTTGGTTTCCTTTACAGGACTAGCTATTCACAGTCACACAGAACTACTTAGCACGCTTTGCCAGTGTCTCCTGAGGAAGTCAGAATCTGAGCCAGCATGAAGACTGAATCTGGTCTTTGGTCTGATTTATAAACTGTACTTTATTCTAACCATGTGCAAGGTGGAGGTTATAGCATGGAAACTAAAACCTTAGTAAGTGATTTTTGTTTTAGCTTTTAAATAATAGCCTTTCTTGTAGTGAATTTGTCCTTTTAACTGAGTTCACGCTATAAATGGGGTGAGGACTTGGCAGACAGAGACACAATACTACACTTACAAAGTGAAAGATTTAGCTTTTCAGGTCAGGGAAAATCCCCGAGAAAGGGAGGCAAAAGCTTCTATTAACTCTGCGTAGGATTTTCACTTTTCTGGTTAAAAATAGGTGGCAGAATGATAATTAGTTTAGGAGGGATTTAAGAAAATGGAGAGTCTGTCTTTAGTAGCCAACGTCTACATTCAAGCCATTTAAAAAAAATCATTATTAAATTTGCTGTGTAAGTTACTTTATTTATAAATTAGTTGGCATTAAGTCATGCAGTCTACATTTTAGTGTGTTAGTAAGCCCAGTGTACAATCCCAGGAACCTCTTAAATACTGAATATATTTTTAATATGAATTGAGTTTTGAGTGTATCTTAAATATCAAATATTTTGGGTAGGACTATTCAGAATTCTATCAGAGTAGGTATGCTACTGGTAGCTGTCTAGGGACGTTCCGTCGGTTTTATTGTCCCAGTCGGTGATGTACAATTTGTATTTTTTTGTGTTCCAGACAACTAGATTTTGAGGATGTTAGGCTGTCACGGGACTTGATCTGTATTTCACAGTGTCACTTTCTGATTGTAAGGATTACTCTTCAGCATTTTTCTTTCTGCCTGTACTTATTAAGAACAGTGGATAGCACTTTTAAGCTGCTTTTCCTTAGCAAAAATGATAGAATTTGTTTGATCTTCTGAATTCTTCAAGGAATCAAACATTATGATACTGTACCTAGATAGCATAAGAATCGATGTCGTTCATAATTTGAGAATGGTTCTGTATTTAAGTTGCTTGGTTTGTGTTCTTTCCTTTCTCTTTGAATCTTAATTTTTGGTTACCTTTCTAAATTGATGGCTTAAATTAAACTTCTGTTAGTGGCTTCTCTGTTTTAACGTGCTTCCCTCTTAAAAAAACGAACCTCCCTTTATTTTCTGCTTATCTCTTTTGCATTCTAAAGTACAATTTCATTAAATTCCGAGGTCTCGGATTTTTCTTTGGAAACTTACCTCTGGTGTCTCTGATGGAAATCAGAAAAATAAGTATAAGAAATAGTTCAGTATTAAATCTTACATGCATCTTCTGAGAAGTTTATATTTTAGAAGTTGAAGGGTACTTTGGTTTTGGGGCACGTTTTCAGAGATGGAATTATGTAGTTACTGTTCTAATAACCATGTCCTAATTATTTATAGCTTCCTGCTTGACATAACGCACTTCAAGAAGAGCACAATGTCAGAACGTGGAATTAAGTGGGCTTGTGAATACTGTACGTACGAAAACTGGCCATCTGCCATCAAGTGTACTATGTGTCGTGCCCAGAGACCAAGTGGAACAATTATCACAGAAGATCCATTTAAAAGCGGTTCAAGTGATGTTGGTAGAGATTGGGATCCTTCCAGCACTGAAGGAGGAAGTAGTCCTTTGATATGTCCAGACTCTAGTGCAAGACCAAGGGTTAAGTCTTCGTACAGCATGGAAAACGCAAATAAATGGTCATGCCACATGTGCACATATTTGAACTGGCCAAGAGCAATCAGATGTACCCAGTGCTTATCCCAGCGTAGGACCAGGAGTCCCACAGAGTCTCCTCAATCCTCAGGATCTGGCTCAAGACCAGTTGCTTTTTCTGTTGATCCTTGCGAGGAATACAATGATAGAAATAAACCGAACACAAGGACCCAGCACTGGACTTGTTCTATTTGCACGTATGAAAACTGGGCCAAGGCTAAAAAGTGTGTTGTTTGCGATCATCCCAGACCTAATAATATTGAAGCAATAGAGTTGGCAGAGACTGATGAGGCTTCTTCAATAATAAATGAGCAAGACAGAACTCGATGGAGGGGCAGCTGCAGCAGTGGTAATAGCCAAAGAAGATCGCCTCCCACTACGAAACGAGACTCTGAAATGAAAATGGATTTTCAGAGGATCGAATTGGCTGGTGCTGTTGGCAGTAAGGAGGAACTTGAAGTGGATTTCAAAAAACTAAAACAAATTAAAAACAGGATGAAAAAGACCGATTGGCTATTCCTCAATGCTTGTGTGGGTAAGTTTCTGCATTTTTTCTGAATGGGATAGGAAGATACTAAAAATGACATGAAAGATATAAGTAAGGTCATTATTATTTAGCATTTCGCTCATTCAGCATGATAGCTATACTCCCAATATGCATGCATAAGAATCTCTGTATTTTTTGTCTTATTACAACTTTGTCCTAAATTGCCTTCATTTCATTGTGTGTTTTTCCAGCATTAGGGAGAAAAACTTTTAAGTTAAAGCAAAGTTCTTTACACATCAGTAGAGAAAGAATATACCTGGGGTTTAAAACTGCTACTCTATTTATTGTAACAAGATGTGACTGAGGAACACCAGCTGCTGCTTCAGAGTGTTTGTAAACAGTGTGAGCATCTTGTGATGATAGAAGCTTTAGTCAGATGTTAAAAATATCACAAAAATGTGACTCCAAGAAGTTGAACAAACATAGTATTGACCTTGAAAATACCGATGTTAATTTAACATGAATGTCATGTAGTAAATATTTGCAAATTTTATGAAACTGAGTTCATGTAGCTAGCTGAATTCCACAGTTCAGATTATGCTTTGTGTGTTTTGTGGTTTTAGTGCTTCCTAAGGAAATTCTGTATTGGTCCCAGTTACCGGCCCAGACCTGTTAAAGGACCAGGACATGATGTGAGAGCAGGGTTTTCTCTGGTTACTAACCTTGTGAGTTAAATTGTCGTGATGTAATTCACAAAAGCAGTTATTGGATTGTCTGTGCTTTTTCTTTTCTTTTTGAGTAGGTTAGCTATTGGCATTTTATGATTTAAATTATTTGGATGGGGTGCTTATTCTGACATTGTGTTTTGTAAAGAAAATTTTTGTAAAGGATTATTTTGAGCGAGAACTCAAGTTAAATATTGCATGGAACAATACCTAAGCCTTAAACATAGCTTAGCTCTGTGTGTATATACGTGTGTGTGTGTGTGTGTGTGTGTGTGTGTATAAATACACACACACACACGTATGTGTATGCATATATGTATGTATATATATACGTATTGTGTATGTGTGTATATACACACATATATATGTATGTATATATATATTTTCCCCAGTATGAATTTCTTTTATCTCTCTATAGCTCCAAGAACATAGAAGACATAACTATATGAACCTGCAAGTCCTAAGAGTAGATTTCAAGAAATCTGAGTTTTTTATTTTAATTTTGCCCTGACAAAAAGAATGTCCCAGGAGATGAGTCCTTCTTAACAGCCAAACATAGTAGGAACTTAGTAACTCTTAGTTCCAATTTTCTCCTATTTTGAGCACTAGGGAGGAGAATCCACTGAGCCATTTTAGGCTATCTGTGTTGTCCCATTTCATCCCGTTGATTTTTTTCTTTTCTCCCCAAATTGGGGTACCATAAATGTTTTTCTTTTTCTTTTTCTTTTTCTTTTTTTTCTTTTTCTTTTTCTTTTTCTTTTTCTTTTTCTTTTTCTTTTTCTTTTTCTTTTTCCTTTTCTTTCTTTTCTTTTCTTTTCTTTTCTTTTCTTTTCTTTTCTTTTCTTTTCTTTTCTTTTCTTTTCTTTTCTTTTCTTTTCTTTTCTTTTCTTTTCTTTTCTTTTCTTTTCTTTTCTTTTCTTTGGGTTTTATGTATTTTATTGAGGTCAAAGTCCTATAACCTAAGATTCACTATTTCGAAAGTGAACAAATCAGGCATTTAGTGCATTCACAGTGTTGTGCACCCTCCACCTGTCTGGTTCTGAAACATTTTCATCACCCTAAAAGGAAACCCTGTACCCCTTAAGCAGTTACTTCACATCCCCGCCTCCTCCAAGGCCCTGGCAATCACATCTTTCTGTCTCTGGGTTTACCTATTCTGGATATTCCATATAATAGGAATCTTATATGACCTTTTATATCTAGTTGTGATTGTCTTTAAATTACCTGCATGTCTTTTGAAACAACTCTTAAAATCATTTTTGCCTAGTGGTAGTGTACCATGCATACATTTATTACAAGGTCATGTGGTAGTACACATATGTTTATAGATGGAAATGAAGTACATTGCGACGCTTATTAACCTCTATTGGGGTCATAGAATCCTTCAGAAATCAGAGGTTCATAGTTTTTTCAAGTTAGTGGATCTCAGGATGAGAACTTCTGCTTAGGAATATTTTCTCTTGAAACACATAAATTAGACCAGTCGATTAAACTCTGTGGCTATTACTTCTTGCCTTTAGGATTACTCTGTCTCTCTAAGATGCTGCCTTTTATTTCTTTCCACATAATCCTTAATGTCTTTTGAGATAACCGTCCTTGTACTTCACATTTTGATAGCTGTGAGTTCATTTTAAAGGTGGAACAAAAACTGCCAGCAGGACCAATATTGTATTTATTTGCTTTTGTTTCGTTTACAGAACAGTTTCTTTGTCATTAAGTCACTGTTCCCACCCACTCCAGAATCTCTAGGGTCTTAGGACCAAGTATTGATTGTATTTGGTTCTTGGTAATGTGCATTGTCTTTCCTATCAACAGATATTTTTGTTCACCATACAATATGGTTCTGAACTGTTGTACTAAAAATTAATGACCCTGTCTTTATTGAGTAGTCCTGTCCTGATTTGTAAACATCACTGAAATATGTTTAAAACTTTTTTTTGTTTACATTGTGTTGGGTTAATTAACAGAAGTCCACATGTACTGAAAATTAATCTTTACCTCCCTTTTTCTGCCTGCCTTATGTTCTCCAGATTTCATCAGATATGGTGTATAATGGCTTGTCCATGTTAGGCATTTAAGAAAATCATCTCTGTGCTCCCTTTGGCAGCGCATATAGTGAAACAATCATCTCCAAGGTATATATGCTAATTACAAAATGCTTACTGAGTGTAACATTTATACTAAGTATAAAATGTGAGACTTTCCCTTTTGAAATTGGAAAAAGTCTCAACTTCTGGCCAGCTTTGTAGCTGGTTAAAATAGGAATGAAGAAGATGCAGTTGTTAAGAAGGCAAAAGTAAACTGAAGTGCCAACAATATTGAGCGAGTTTCTTTTTTACATGACTGTTGAGTGTAAGTTTCACATGAATCATTATTATCTTATGTGGTGAGAGAAGGACATCGGGGACAGCAATGCCAAACAAAACCTGACATCAGTAAAAGTGGAATCTGGGGGTGGAAACCGGGATGGAAAGGGCAGAGGTGTATTTAAATATGCACTTGTCTCTGGAATGTCTGCAGTTTGGTGCCAGGTATTTTCTGGGAGGTCATGTCAGTGCTAATCATAGACTGCCTTTCCCACTGGATAGATAATGTCCCTCGAGAATAGGGCAGCACTACCTAACGCCGTTTTACTTCTGTTGTAGTGAATTGGTTGCCCCTTGGAAGAATATTTAAATTTGTGGCCCAAGTTGATCCCTTGAAAAGATACGGGATCACATAAGAATCCCAAATTAAATCCGTGTGATAACGTTTTGTATTTCTGAATCCTGGACTCGTACATCCAGCTGTGTATACCACATCTTCTCTTGAATAGCTAATATTTCAAATTTCTTTCCAACTCAGCGAAGCTGAAACTGAACCGGTCTCTGCATTAAGTGTATTCTTTCACAGTTCTTCTCTCCCCTTTCTAAAAAAATTGTTTTTTATTTTTATTTTGAGAGTGCACTAGCGGGGGGACAGAGAGAGAGAGAGAGAGAGAGACAGAGAGAGAGGGAATCCCAAGCAGGCTCTGCTCTGTCCGTGCAGAGCGCCTGATGACGAACTGCAAGATCATGGCCTGAACTGAAACCATGAGTGGGACGCTTAACCGACCGAGCCAACCGGTCCCCCTCTCCCTTGATGGCATGTTTATCTTTCCACTGGCTGTGCCAAAAGCCTCCGCCATTCCTGATTCTCCTCTTTTTTCTCTCACTCCGTTCCTTCTTGTTAGAAAATCTTACTGGCTCTGCCTTCGAAATATATCCAGAATCCGACCACTTCTTACTACCCTTGTCCAAACCATGATCCTTGTCCTCTTTTACAAACTATTCTCCACATAGGAGCTTCTCTTAAAACTCTGCTCAGTACTCTTCAGTGATCGCCTGCGTGGCTCACAGTAAAAGTCAGAGTCCCTCAAAGACTCCGTAGGCTGCCCTCAGCTGTGCCCCGCACCTTTCTTCCCCCCACATACATTGTTTCCCTTCTAGCCTTCTATTGCTCTCAGTTTCTCTTTAGCCCATGTGGCCACCTTTCTTCTCTAACAGATGAGCCTCAAGCCTTTGCACTTGCTGTTTCCTCTGTCTGGATTGCTCATTCTCTAGATTGCAGGATTAGTGGATTTGGTCACATATGTTCTTTTCTCATTTGTTACCTTCTCGGTGAGGCCTCTCTGACTGTGTCTAAAATTTCAGCCCTGTCCTCACTCCCTTTCCTCAGCTTTAATTTGCTTTTCAGTTGTCACTTTCCAGTATACTCGGTCACTTTATTATTTGTCTCTTTCTTCCTTAGAATTTAAGCTTTGTGAAGGCCAGGAATTTTTTGTTGTTCACAGCATATCCTTGTACCTAAAACAGTGCCTGGTATATAGCAGGCATTCAGGTATTTGTTAAACCAGTCAGTGAATAAACCCTTCTGGAAACTGGGATCTGAATACATACTTTATGCTCCTTTCCTGAATTTCTGGATTTTTTTGCTTTCTTCCTAGCTTTCTGTATTTTTTACTTTACAGACTACCCCTGGGGCTTGACCCAGTGGGAGCCAACTTGACTTCTCCTTGTCAGAAAAAAGTAGGAAGTTGGTATAATAGAGTCTTACTGTAAGAGGCAGGCCTCAGTTTATCACTAGACAGTCTGTGGATTTGAAAAGTCTGAGGTCATTTCTTTACCTTAAATTCTTCTGTCTTCCTGCCTTCACTGATGAATATTTGACAATTTGATGAATATATGATATAAAGAAAAAAATCATGTGTTTGCTATAAAGTCCTAAAGCAAATTAAATTTTTACTTGTTTTATATTCAGTTGTAGTTGGATCTGTTATTTCTGTTTGGCATTTTGTCTCATGTC